AAACGCCTTTACTATCTTAGAGAATGCAGGAAATCGCAGTTACCAGCTGAAGTCGGTATTATTACCTATCAATCCAAAATAAGACCAATTCTCGAGTATGCATCACCTGTCTGGGCGGGACTCCCTAATTACCTGCGAGATGAAATAGAGCGGGTTCAATCCAGGAGCTTTTAAAAGAATCCTTGGCCTGGAAAAAGATTACCTACCACCGTTGAACGAAAGAAGGGAAGAGGCAACTAGTCGAGAAGTTGATAGGTTTATGAACGATCCACACCATCCCTGTCGCAGTGTTTGGCCAAAATTAATTAACAATCAGTACAATTTAAGGAACATTGACCGGAATCGCAATATATCATTCTTCTCAGGAACTGAAAGGCATAAACATTCATTTTCAGGTAGAGCTTGTAAATATGTATAAATAGTTTTAACTTATTAGAAGAACTCATTAGATTAAAGAATTTATTAGTTTTAACTTCTTAGTTAGTTTTCTAAATTATATTACAACAATTTGTAATATAAAGACATATCCACAGCATATATACTTTCTTAAACAAGTAATTGTAAGTCCATTGTACTTTTTTATCTTAAGATGGATGAATAAAACTATTATTATTATTATTATTATTATTATAGTTCGAATAAGGGTTTTGATTAGTGTTTCAACCAGGGCTTGGCTGAAATTTAATAGAAGAGTCATATATGGAATAGTCTCCAAATGACCCCCACCCCAACTCTATCCTGACCCCTACCCTACACCCACCCCACCTCTATTGTGATGTCATTTGAGGACCTTTATATCAACTTCGCCTGGAATTGTTTAAGGAGAGCTAATAAAGGGTGAAGTTTATTTTCGTACAAGAGTTTTCAAATGACGTCACAAAAACGCGAGGTTGGGGTAAGGTCGTACTGGGTGTGTGGGTAGGCCAGTGCATGTGGGGACTCTTATATGAAACGTCGGCCAGAATAATGGTAGAAACTGTTCACGATGTATTCAAAAAGGGGAATGTTAATTAATGCGTAAATTACCCCAATAAACTATAGTATCATGTGAAGATATAGTGGGGAATCGAAATTGTCAAATATATACTAATGGAATTGCTGTGCATTACACGGAAGAGAAGCTATAGAAACAAGACAATACGTCAGGTTTCTGGTTTTCTGCTAATAAATGGCAGTAATTGTTGCACGATTAGACTGTTTATGACGGGAAGTGCCAAAATTAGCAATGACTCTATTTTACCTCGCTTACCTCGCTGTAACGTTTACCTCGCTGCATCGAGCCAAATCTTTTCGAATTAAAACAACTTGTGATGTTCGAATTCATGAACATGGAAAAATCGCTTAACGGCTTGTGTGAAAATAGAACGGAACGACGGCGCATTTTACAAATGACTGGAAGCTCTAACGTCTCAACTCCGCGATAATTGAAGGTAACAAATTTCAGAGGCTCTGGAAGTCTTCAAATCGCGGTTGGTAACAAGTTTTATTGTTGATATTGGTACTTCAAACTTCCCATTTTTCAACCATATTAGTCACTGAATCCAGTTAGGAGCCACTTTTGAGAAATTTAAATTCGAATTTGATATGTGTACAAAGCCGTATTTGGACTTGGTGGTTGTTATCGCTAAAGTTTGCCATAATAATAGTTTTGTAAAAGCATCATAAAACCAGGTAAGTTTCAAAGTAGAATGACTTTCACGTTCGTGGGCGAAAAAATCATAAAAGACATTGTGAAAGTAACGAAGAATTTCATTTTTTGAGCCTAGAGCCATTCATCGGTTCTTAAAGAGATAACCTCTTAAATTCATTCCCAACCGTGCAGAATAGACATACAGTGTTTAGATTAATAAATGTCAGCATTGACAATTTGACAATAATTTCCGGGTTTTCCCCGAGTAGCTAATTTTAACACGAAAGCGTACCACTTTTAATAATACCTCGCTGCATCGATCGAAATCTTTTTGAATTAAATCCACTTGTGATGTTCATGAACGCAGAAAAATCGCTTAACTACGATGATATTAACGGCTTGTGTAAAAAAAACGGAACAACAGCGCATTTTAAAAGTGACTGGAAGCTCTGACGTCTCAACTCCGCTATAATTGAAGCTAAACAAAATAGCCAAATTGTATCAAATTTCAGAGGCTGTCGAGTCTTCAAATCGCGGTTGGTAACAAGTTTTATTATGGATGTGGGTACTTCAAACTTCCCTTTTTTAACCATATTAGTCACTGAATCCAGTTAGGTGCCACTTTTGAGAAATTTAAAGTCGAATTTGATATGCGTACAAAGCCGTATTTACACTCGGTGCCTGTTATCGCTAAAGTTTGCCATAATCGTTCTGTAAAAGTATCATAAAACAAGGCAAGTTTCAAAGTAGAATAATTTTGACGTTGGTTGGGTGAAAAATTCATAACATTTGGTTAAATACTTTAAAAATTATATGTATTTGAATTCGGCTAATTTTCATGTCAGGCAGAGGATTTTCTGCACGACGGCGCGGGACCGAAAATCGCTGAAATTTTAAAAATTAATAAAATTTCAAATTTCCAAATAGTGTTTGTTTGTTCTTGGGGTAAATACATTTCATTGTGAAAGTAACGAAGAATTTCATTTTATGAGCCGAGAGTCATTGGTCGGTTCTTAGAGAGACAGCCTCCTAAGTATTCCTGCGTTGAGAAGTAATAAATATTCAAATATTCCGGCGATAAAGAAGCAAACGATTTGAATATTCGCTAATATGAAATATGGCGACAGGCAAGAGTCGCGGTGCGCAAAGCATGTTGGTACTATTTTTTACCGAACTCGAAGCGAGCTGTTTCGATTATGTTCTTTTATGGACATTGTCGTGTTTCTTTTCATAAACTGTTGGTTATTGTTCGTTCTTTGGCGCACAATATCTATAAATTTTGAATTCGAATCGCATTCAACGCGTATACTAGCCTTATAATAGCTATACTATGGTAAATCTTTGTGAGGAGAGTGCTTGGATATGAATAATGTTAAATATTTAACAAAATTAAAGCCAAGCAGTCGATTCTGTCGAAAGATCAAATCGAAGGAAGAGCATTGTCGTTAAATTGCTGCCAAGGTCCAGATCGTGGTCAAGTCGTCAAGATAGTGCGACTTTCAGGTTGGTAGATTTGTTTGAACGTTTGAAGCGGTCCCAAGAATATTGTTTACATTTGTAAAATACACATCCCCTCTTGTCTGTGTTTTAACTGTACAACATAGGAATGATCATCACTTCTAGTCTTCAATATCCAGTGGTCATTAACGTGTTTTGACTGAGGCAATGGTTCACACTTCACATTGTTTACAGATACAATAAAAGTATATGGCCCCTGCACATAAGCCCCCATCAAAAAATATTTACGAAAGAATATAAGCCCAGGGAATATGTTTGGAAGTTCACGGTATGCCATTATATATCTGATTCTCTTGTGTTCTTTGATTGGCAGTAAAAACTGTAATCATTTTAATGGTGTCTGTTCTTATAGTTTTTTCCATTCTTTTAGATTGATGTAAACCAAATGATATATCACTTTTGCATGCTGTAGTACATCAAACACAAAAGAACCGGGTTTAACCATAGAGGGTTCAGACCACCTGATAAAGGAGATTGACAGTAGCACAGCTATACAAGAAGGTATATAATCAGTACCATGTAATGTTTTGTGAAGATAAACTCTTTTGATGTATTACATCGCTGCTGTGGGATTGGTTTATCTGCAGTGGTCTGCATGTTATTGGGTCCAAATGCATTCTCGTTGGAAAATTGCCTAAAGCAATATAGTTATAGGGCAGAACAAAACTCCTAAAACTGAATTTAGTTGTTACTACTGTATACCGTACTGTCTAATGAAGTGATTTTAGTCAATATAGATATATTCATATGGTGTTGTATATGCATAATTGATATAGCTAGCTATACTGTACACAGGGCCGCCTAGAGAATTTGCCGGGGGCCGAGGCAAACCTTCCCTGGGGGCCCCATGACATTATTTTTAAGCTAGACCCAACTAAACCTTAGCTGGACTGCATGTGGAGGTGCTGTAAGTGGCCCTCAATTTCAAAAATGCTCTTTATAGAACCTACTCAATTTTAGGCTCTTGCTCCAAGTTGCGGCCCTATATTTAAGGTGGGGGCCCAGGGCAATTTGCCCCCCCCCCTCTTAGCAGCCCTGACTGTACATGTGATTATTTTGATTATAGCTAAATAGAATATGCAACCCTAACGTAGAATGTGTTATATTTTGTGTGTATACCATATTGCTAACCCATTGAGCTGAATTGTGCCCTACTTTGTTGTTTTACTATCAATATTTCAAACATGGCTTGTTTTGGCAAGACATGACATCCTTTTGGTTTTTCACATATTGAATTTGACAGAATGTCATCTCTGCGATATATCGAAACAATGCTGATGTCCATTTCTTTGATGTATCGAAACCATGGATAGTTTAGAGTATTCGACATATTGAAAAAATGGCAATCTTTTGATATATCGAAGAAATGGCATTCTTTCAATATATAGAAGCCATGGATAGTTTAGTTTTCGATATATCGAGGAAATTGCAATCTTTCGATATATTGAGGAAATTGCAATCTTTCGATATGTCGAAGAAATGGCATTCTTTCGATATATCGAAGAAATGGCATTCTCTCGATATATCGAAGAAATGGCATTCTCTCGATATATCGAAGAAATGGCATTCTCTCGATATATCGAAGAAATGGCATTCTCTCGATATATCGAAAAAATGGCATTCTTTTAATATATTGAAGAAATGGCATTCTTTCGATATATCGAAGAAATGGCATTCTTTCGATATATCGAGGAAATTGCAATCTTTCAATATATCGAAGAAATGGCATTCTTTCGATACCGGTATATCGAAGCATTGGATAGTTTAGAGTTTTCGATATATCGAAGGTGGCATGTGCCATGTTCCTGATATATAATTTTCACTGACTGTGGCTGCCTCCAGACATGTTTTGGAACTATAACATTTTCCTCTTTTTTTCCCTTTTATACACATGCCTTTTACTCACTTTGCTAAAAACAATAAATTTTGGCCAAATTTTTTAGCAGTTTTTTCCTCTTAGAGATTTAGTATCTTTTTAGTCATATCTTGCAACTTGGAAAAGCTAAAATTGTTGCAAAATGTGTATGTTTTTGCTGAATATATTTCCAGTCATTTTTAACATGCATTTGATGTGATTTTCCTATTAAAACATGAAATCTGTCATTGTCCACATTTGCAATTATTCTTATGTTTTTAACCAATTTTTATCATGTTTGAAAAGGAATTCTTGTTTTCATGCAGAATTATTACATTTATGTATAGTTTCTCCACAGTCATGGCTGTATTCATTGCATTTTTTAGTGTTTTCTTTCATTTTTCTCTCAAATTCTGTTAAATAGAATATTGGACCCTATAGTAGAACGTGTTATATTGGACCCTATAGTAGAACGTGTTAACTGTATATCAATACGGAAAAAAATGTTTTTTGTACTGTTTAATAAACGAGCAGGAGTGTTTTATTAGGTTTAAAGACACGAGCGCGCAGCGCGAGTGGCTTTAGACCTAATAAAACACGACCTGCGAGTTTATTAAACGGCTTCAAACACGACTACAAATTCAATAGATTTACTGCCTTATTAGTATTCTTTATATAAGAAATACTAATGAGGACACGACTACAATAGATACTGTCTTATTAGTATTCTTTATATAAAGAATACTAATTAGGAGCGTTTTATCAGGTTTAAAGCCACTGCACGTGACATTTTATGGTTGACATGATTTGCCAATAAGCTTATGAATTATTAATGAGTGTTTGAAATTTGTTTTATAATATAGCACAAAGAAACATAAAGAAAGAAATTTCCGACGTTTCCGTTTTGACATTGAGTTATATCAACACGGCTCTTAGCCAATCAGCGTTCAGAATTTACAAATGCTATATTATAAATACAAATAATGAATGTTGATGAGTGCAATTGTAAAAATATTTTTATGCGGCGAAATATGGAATTTCCGCCATTCACTGAATAAAAATAATCTTACAATTACATAAAAACAATTCGTAGCTATTTAAAGTAGTTCCTATATAATGAATGTATTTGCTAAGCTGTCAAAAATATTTGGAAGTCTTTTTGATGGTTGCAGAACATAGTTCGTAGAAATATTTAGAGCCGATGTTTGCCTGACGTAAGTTACTGACATTGTCAACCTCGACTGAACCAATGGTGAAAATGCAGAATAGGCAGTAATTGACAGACTTTGTTTTGAGGTAAGTTGCAAACGACCAGCGATTGAGGCAAGTTGCAAACGACCTACTTAATATTCTCAGATGATTAACAACGCGTTGCGTTCACTGTTTACTATTGAAGCCATATTTGAACGTTCTCCCTCCCCCGGCGGAGGTAATAGTATTAAATTTAGCAAGAAAATGTGAATGAACTAAACTTGTTCACTGTAGCGGGTAACTTCTAATTTAAACAGTGGCGGGGCAAAGTGGGGGGGGGGGGGGCAAAGCCCCAAGCCCAAATTTCCGACAAAAATTTCTGGGTTTCGATAACCCCTCCTGCATTTACACTCAATCAATTTCGGCAATTTTCCGTGAAGGTGGGGAGGGGCGACGCCCTCCCGCCCCACCAAGATTTGCGCCACTGAATTTAAACCGAATGGCGTCAAATCATAGAAATAATAGATATAGAATGCGTACTTGATCACGAATCATGTCTCCACTTTTTCTCATGCTTGCTCTTATAAATCCGCCATGTTTGAATTTGACTAGGAGTGCAACTACAAAGTATAAACAAAGCTAAAACTACGTTTTCATCGTCAAAACGTTTATTTTGTTGTCTAATTTGTAGTTTGGGGATAGATTTTGAGTTTTTTGAAGGCAGAAACTGTCAAAGCAAATGTGCAGTTACAAAAACGGTGAAAATCGTGCAGCCTTGTAAACAAAGTATTTTCGCCGGTTTCTCGAAATTTACTCATAAAATATTTTTGCATGCTTTGAACGTCACCACTGTCACTGTTTTGCCAATATCTTATAAGATTACAAAATGATAGTTCTTTCTTCGTCGGGTTTCGTTTTTCTTTGATGTAAACGAAGGTTTTTTATTTTTTTGAAACAAAAATATTTAGTTGTCGATAGACTGTAAATTGTCTAAATAATCGTCGAAAACTATGGTTTCAAAAGCGTTGCCTCAAGCTCAAGCAACACAGAAAAATATGAAAAGTAATTGTGCAAGTTCAAAAAGATTACTGAACTTCATTTATATTATATTTTATTATATTATAAAAAAGTTGAAATATTTATAGAACATACCTATTGAGTTTGAGTTTGTCTTGATTTTTCGGGTTTTGTTTTGGCTTGCACAACAACGTTGAAAATTTATTTTTAAACGATGATTTCTGTATATATTCTGTTCAGAACTGTTGTTTTCCTAAGAAAAGCCCACTAGAATGGGTTTTTAGAGACTTTTTTCACTCTTTTTCCCATTTTAAGTCTCGATATGAAAATTTTTGCAAACTTTGCATTTGAAAAAACAATTTGCACTCTCTGCAACTGCGCGAAATTCCCACTGAAATTCCCTGCCCCCTGGGAGTCTGGGAACCAAAATGCCTTTATAAATCCGCCATATTGGAGACACATTTTTCACTGAGAAAAGATAGGAGTACGCATTCTATATCTATTATTTCTATGCGTCAAATAGAAGGTAGTGACGTCATGTGCAAACATAGAATAGCTAGTTATCTTGTGTAGCAAGTTATAATGTTCCTTGTTCCAATAGAGCGTCAATCAAATTAAAGATGAGGGCAACGGCCGAAACAAATTCTTTCAAATAAATTAGTGCAAAGAAAAGTTGTCGTGTGCTATCAATCATATAAATTTAATACAGTTTTAAAAACTTTATGCTTGTCAAATTTCCATTTCAATTCCCAATTCCCTGAGTACCAGTACCACTTCTCCTGCCTTGAAATCTTGAAATGAAGGCACACAATATATTTTATAGTAATCAGTTGTTTGCCATTGTAAACAGAGCGAGGACGAAGTCGAAATCTCTCCTGGTATTAAAATTATTATAATTCCTTTTTTCTAAAACATTACGAATTTCCTTGTATTCAGCCGTTGTCGTCGTCACGCCGCCTGTCTACGTCGTAATTAGGTCTCTACGAAATGTTCTAACTAAAATTTTCTATTTCCACCATACAGCACCAATTCAGTGTTCACCAGAATCGCTCGACCTGTTTGTCGTTATCGACGGCTCGAGGAGCGTTGGCTATGTCAATTTTGGAAAAGTGAAAACCTTCTTGAAAAAACTAGCTGATGAGTTCCTAATCGGCAAGAACAACGCACACTTTGGTGTGTTGCAGTACGGAGATAAAAGGGAGAGCAGAATAGAGTTCAACCTTGATGAACATTTTAGCAATAAAAACGTTTCACGGGGCATAGAAGAAATGAAATTTCTAGATTCGCCAAGGACCGATACTGGACATGCTTTGTCAACAGTTAATGAACAGGTTCGTTACTGCATCATGCATAAATTGTATGTTAATTAACGTGTGGCTATTTTCTTGTATAATTACTATAATGGTATGGTATGGTATGGTATGGTATGGTATGGTATGGTATGGTAGGGTATGGTATGGTATGGTATGGTATGGTATGGTGTTAGTTTTATCGCTCTACAAACGTGACGATATCATAATTTTCACCACGTGAGCAATATAACTGATATTGCCGAGTCTCAAATGTGATAACTTATTTATCACATATATTTGTGTCTTAATCACGCTTTAGATAGCATAAACGAGTTTAAAAACTTTAGTTCTTAATTTAAATAAGTAATCCTCTGTGACATGTATTTCCCTAAAGAACTTCATAAGGTGCTACCTCACCTGAGGTTTTTCTTTTCGTGCCGCCATTCGGATTTGATATATTACGTCAAATATTTATATTACGTCAAAACATACTAAATTGCTAATGTAATAGTCTAATATGGAGCACTGTATAATTAATAAGCACTGTGTAATTAATCAATTTTTCTCTATAGATATTTAATGGAAAAGGTGTTGACCGACCGGACGTGCCAAATATATTGATTTTATTCACGGACGGTCTTGCACACGATATCAGGCTCGCCTACGATCAGGCAGAAGATCTCAAGAAAAAAGGTACAAGACTCATCGTCATTGGAGCTGGCAAGAGAGCTAATGAAGTCTTTAAACAAATAAAACATATGGCTTCCAGAGTAAAAGATGCGCATAAATCAAAATTTGACCAACTTTCTGGCATCGTGGATGATTTACTAGACGTGGTTTGTACTTAACGGGTACAGTCGAAATGAACCAATATTTGTAGAGAATACGTGGGCTACAGTACATACATATAACTGTTATTCCCACTAAGAATATACTGTCTAGAACGACATGTAGATCATTGTGTTGAATATGGGCACAAAAATTGAAACTAATATTTGTATAGTAGTATAATGTAAAAGAACGTTCAGTGATCCTTTACGACATGTACTGTCTTGTAACTTATCACAACCCTGTTATTTCTGCATAAAAGTCTTTCTCCTTCGCAGGAGAAAATTATTGCCATTACAATGAAAAAAGAAAAGAGCACAATCCTTCATTCTCTAACGCTTCGGCCTCACTTAAAACCTACAAAGCCCTTGCGAAAAAGAGTGGTTACTAATCATAAGTTTGCATTGATACATGTCAAGGCTTTTTTAACGTGCAGTTCTGCACAAAAAGTGCAGTCTGAAGCAATTTTTAAAACACATATGTGCAGTAACCAAGTTAACGATTACGAAAATATAAAATAGGACGCTAAAGATATGCTGGCCCTTTCCTTGTAGATGCTTCTCCAAATACTAGAATTGCAGTCATTGAGCATGAGCATGAAAAACATGAAAATGTTCTGGCAGGAGAATCCCATGAAAACCTCCATATTTCCTTCACAGATCACTTAAGTGGCTGTCTCACTAAGAACCATGCAGAGCGTTTCGGGTTGAAAATTAGATTCGCTTTATATTTTTACCATGAACTACCTTTGTCCTAAAAGGTATTAACCTAATATTAGAATTTCTAAATTTTTCTTTTTTTTTCGAGTTATGACGAATTTTTGTCTGGACGTCAGCGACACTGAAATTTGACCCCGAAAACGGCGGTCAAATGTGCGTTAAATTGTGCATCATAACTCGGGAAGTTTCGCGTCAAATTAAAATTTTTTTCAGCGTATTGAGCCATATTCTTCTTCTTTTAGAATGTTGAAAGAATTTGAATGTACATCTTAATTTGAGCCTACTAGTCTCCATCCAAGGAAGACGGTATTTTCGTTCTCCGAACAACTAATGATTAGGTACAAAATTCAAACTAAAAATTCTCAAAAGTGCAACCTACCTGGTGTCTAAAACACTTTTAGGGTTAAAGTTGAATACTTAAAGTTATGTTATTCGTAATAAAACTTGTCGGCAAAAGGGATATAAAGGAGTGCAAAATTCATAAATTATTGCTATAAATAGCTCTATTGTTTACGTTTGTGATAACCGGAAACACGTTCAGCGTTACTCGCGGAGGTTTTATAAATTTATATCAGCAATTACTATAAATATAAAATAGTGTTTATAAGTTCTTATATTTGAAGATAAACACCGCCTTTTTAAGCTTTCGGAAAGCCTTTACAATTGATCGTTTTAAACTTGATTAAATTTGCTAAATAGTTGCACGCCAACATAAAATGTACAATATATTATCGTTGTTTAATATGTATACTGATGAGTGTGCCATAAATAGAATACACGTTATATTACGAAAGCAACAATATACAAAACTTTATAGTTAACTTGCTATATCTGGATAGTTATTTTTCGCGTGTTAATTCTTCAACAAACAATTTAATCTCGCAAATTTAATCTTTAATTGAACGTTCGGGAGTTGTCGAAAAAATTTCAAGGTTACTAAATTGTGTTACTGTCTGTAGTCTGTATGCCAAGGGGATTACGTTTGTAGCCAATTTCTAAGTTTCTCTAATTTATAAAATAATAATGAAAAACCACGAAAATAATAGCAGAAAATAATAGCAGACGCAATGTATACAAGCTGTTTTTGTTGTTCAATGCGCCATTGTTAAAAATAATTATTGGAGTATTTTTTAAACTTACTTCTTAAATAATATCAATGACAGTGTTCCTTTGTAATTTCCACACCTTTTTTGTTTAACAGAAAATTAACGCAAAGAAGTGCCGTTTTTAAATATTTCTAGAAGCTTACTAGTTTAGTTTTGATTATGGAGAAAAGTTGTTCATTTGTTGGCGTTGGTGGAATTTCTTGTGGTGAAAGTCGTGGATTATATACAGGAGATTAGTTGCTTATTTGATTGTAAGGAAGATATGAGTGTTCAACTATCAAACTGTCATCTTTCTAAATCGAACTTGAGAGAGAACGAGTTAATTGCTATTCGCACGGGAATGTTCAATCTTACCGAAGACCAGTTTAAGATGATGTTTATTTGTTCGTCCCACCGTCATAATTTGGGACGATTTTGGAGGCCGGTAAGACCGTACCAGTATTCCCTCCAATCGGGTCCTGTTCGTAAGTGTACAGGAAGAGATGTTTTCAGTGTGTCATTATCAAAAACAGTTTTTTCTCTTTATGGGAAATTAATTCAAATAGGATCACGTAAGTATTACGCTACTTTTACTTCTTCAAGTGTTGTAATTAGTACTTCAATGACGCAAGGGAAACTGGAAATAACTATCGTAAGTTTACGTGTTCTTCGTGAAGGAGAATGCGTAAGTGTACGTGTTCTTCATTTTGAGGCGAAAGAGTCACTCGAGTCACTGGCGGTTATTAACTATGCTTTGCCCCACCTGTGTTTTTGCCGGCCCCCTCTGACCGAAAATCCTGGCTACGCCTCTGGCGTCAAGTTAAGTATGTTCAATATGTTAAATATCGTCAAATTTTGGAGTCAGTCATTGTGTCTGCCTCCCACTGGCACGTCTGCCTGACTCGCACTTTTTTTCATGCCTCGCACTTCTACCTCGCATGCTTCGCACTTTTTTTCATGCCTCGCATTGTGCCTCGCATCGTGCCTCATGCTTCGCATGCCTCGCTGCCTCGCACTATAGGGCCAGTTTGGAACGAGTAAAACAGAGCTTTAACCTTCAGAGCAATTTTGATTAACGCTGTTAGAAAAATCGCCTGCCACGGCTTGAAATGCTAGCGTACTTTACAAGACGTGAAAATATGCATTTCGCCGTCGTCAACAGAGCATGGACGACGCCTGAAACTCCAGATATACTTCTAATTATTTCTTTCTTTTGTGCTATAGGATTAATGATATTGTCCTGACGTTGCCGCCTTACATGTGTAAAATCCCTATTGTTCTTGGTCCGCGAGTTTGTGGATCCTGGAGCAATATCGTTAACCCAAACCAAGTACTAAAAACGCCGCATGCAAACTACGATGTTATGTATTTTTTATTGCTATAATTTATACTACTATTATGAGACAAATCAAATTTTGCCGAAAAATGCCAATTGAAGTTGAAAGTTATTCACAATGGCGATTAGCTGCAAACTACTGTAAAATTATTATTATTGCTGTATAGATTAAAGATAAAGGACAGATCTCAGTATACGTCGAAGCTAGTCAATGTCAATGCAACTAAGATCGTTTTATACGATGAAGTGAATGGTTTGCATTTATGCCAAAAATTCTGCCAAATGGGCAATGCGGAAAACTTTTAACAGAATATAATAACAAGTTCATGGATTTATTAATTCGATGCGACGATACGCCAACACACATTTTCGACATTGGCATGGTACCAGTCCGGTCATGAGGGATACAAATCCTAGAAGAATTTATTTTTTCTGACCATTTTAGACCTCAAAGATCCGTCGCATTTCATCGATCGAATTAAACTTTTCTGAGTTGATAAATACAATGATTGTGCAATTAGTCGCTATAAAAACTCCGCGAGCAACCTTGAACGTGTTTCCGGTTATCACAAAGGTAAACAATAGAGCTATTTATAGCCATAATTTATGAATTTTGCACTCCTTCATATTCCTTTTGCCGACAAGTTTTATTACGAATAACATAACTTTAAGTATTCTACTTTAACCCTAAAACGAAAATATCGACTTCCTTGGATGGAGACTAGTAGGCTTAACATAAGATGTACATTCAAATTCTTTCAACATTCTAAAAGAAGAAGAATATGTCTCAATACGCTGAAAAAAGTTTTTGATTTGAGGCGAAACTTTCCGAGTTATAACGCATAATTTAACACACATTTGACCGCCGTTTTCGGGGTCAAATTTCAGTGTCGCTGACGTGCACACAAAAATTCGTCATAACTCAAAAAAAAAGAAAAATTTAGAAATTCTAAAATTAGTTTAATACCTTTTAGGACAAAGGTAGCGAAAAAAAGAGCCCCTCCGGAAGGGAGTGGTTGGTTAAGACTAATCTTCGCCAGAACGTAAGAAACTTTTGGTTTCGGAACTGGCGACTTTGGCGGTTACGATTGGCTAAATGCAATGTTTCCCGCCGGGCAACAAGTGAAAAATTGTTGCCCGCCCTGACCGGCTACGTACACAACTAAAAAAATGGAAGCACAACTAGCACAAGTAGAAACTACGATTTTCCAAGTTTGTGTTCGAATAAAGAATGTAAAAGAGAAGAAAAATACAGAACAGGCAACAGGATATGCTGCTGAAACCGTTTAAGTAGGTTCTTTTAATTTTAAACTCGTTTACACATAGAGTTTTCGTCACGAAACACAATTGTTGTATTGAATGTTGTTGAATATTGATTTTTGTTCGCCGCTAAACTAACAAAACGCTTAATATGTCTGTTCCCTAGGGAAATAGTTAGCTTTGTTTTCCCTCAAATCTCAATGTTTCCCTCGACCTCGTCTCGGGAAACATTGAGACTCCCGGGAAAACAAAACAAGCTATTTCCCTCGGAAGCAGACATTAAGTGTATAATTAACACTTATTTACTGAGACATATATGTCCAATATAGCCATCGGTTGTCAAGTTGTGAAGATGGTGTAAGATGGTGTCAGATGCTTTGTTTGTCAGACGCTTGTAGTGTGGTGTCGGATGGTGTAGGATGGTTCAGCTAAACAGCTGTTGTCAGGTGGTGAAGATGGTGTAAGATGGTGAAGATGGTTTAATGGGAGGGGGGGGGGGGTGTTAATTTTTAACCTACTCAATTGTGTAAATATAGCGTTGCCTCGTTCTTTCAAAACCACGTATATATCAATAAAACCTACCAGACCAACGACAAAAGCGTTATTGCTAATTGTGCATATACAGTATAGCGGTGTTGGCTCGTTTTTTCAAAACCACGTATATATCAATAAGACCTACCAGACCAACGACAAAAGCGTTATGGCTAATATAATTGTGCATATATAGTGTTGCCGCGTTCTTTCAAAACCACGTATATATCAATAAAACCTACGAGACCAACGACAAAAGCGTTATGGCGAATTGTACATATATAGGGTTGCTTCGTTCTTTCAAAAACACGCTTCGTATATAGTAAACTGCTAATCAACTAGAGCACAAAATACCTTTATGCACCATTATAATGTTAGAAGATTTCACTCATGGAACATTGGAAATTAGTAGAAACTAATAAGGGAAGGTGGTTAAAAACCAACACAATAACACTGCCTTCTGAGTCCAGCAATGCAACTAGTGGATCACACTGTATACACCTTTATTACACGCATGTGTGTATTTGCGTTGCTCGTGATTTTTTGCCGAAATATTTTTCAATAGAAACGTTAAGGCTACAAGAAGCACAATACTGACTATTTTTGAATAGAGATTTATGTACCTCTGCTGCTATTACACTTCTACAAGCAAATATTGTTTTCTTATATAGAGAAATTGTGTTGTTTTTACGATATAGGTTCAAGTTTTTTACGTGCTTTCCAAAAATGCAGCAAATAATTTTGTGACTCTTACAACCATCTGACACACTTCGACCATCATACACCATCTGACAACCATCTGACACATTTCGACCATCATACACCATCTGTACCATCTTCACCATCTGACAACCCTTCCCTGTATAACCACCCTACACCATCTGACAACCATCTGACACATTTCGACCATCATACACCATCTGACAACCATCTGATAACCATCCGACAACCATCTGACAACCATCTAACACACTTCAACCATCATACACCACCGTACACCATCTTCACCATCAGACATCAGATGCCTGTATTGGACATTACTCTACTGAGACCGAGGGAAACAGTGTATTTTGTGGACCCGAGGCCGCCGTTGTTGCCCGAAGCGAAGCCGCGAGGGCAACAACGGCGTTGTTGCGGTAGAGGGGCCCACAACATACACTGCTTTCCCGAGGTCTCGGTAAATAAGTGTTTTGTTATATAGTATATAAGTGACAAAGTATGATTAATTCACCGGTTATTGAAGTGAACTTAATTTGAAACCAAAACTAGATAAATGGAACGCCGTAAATGTTTAGTAAAAAGTTTAAAAAATGAACTTTGGAACTTCATGGTTGACACGCATGCGTATTGCACCCATTTTATTATTGACCGGTTAATAAATGTTTCATTGCGGACCAGTTGCCGAACATGACGTTTTGTGGACCGGCATGTGATACGGTTTTGACCAATCGGCAAACAGAAAAATTGAACTTTGACACTAACTATATAACAATATATCTTACCCCATACCTGTGTTAAAAGCGGCTTTCTGATTGGTTTAGAGCAGGCGAGCTTATCGCCGAACTCACCTGCTTTTCGCCCGAACTCACCCGCTAAAATGCTTACGTTGCAATAACAATAACAAATATGGCGGACAAGATTTAGCCGATAAACCTAAACTTTAAAGAACTTTTTTCGGTGACTAACATACTGAGACTGAAGAAAAACCAAAGAAAAAAATGCAGTAAAGGTAATGTAGACGTAGATAAAGAAGTATTTTCTTGCCCAGTGATTTTTTTGGCCGGGAAAATGTTCACAAAACACGACGAATATATCGCGAAGAGCTACAAATGTGTGTATGGCTCGGTGTATCAGATAAAAACCAAACGTACTTGCAGGTTCGGTGAGTCCGGGATTGGACGCACCTCGGGTGGCTGGAAGTTTCAGCCACCCTCGGTGCGTCCAATTCCGGACTCACCTCCCTGCAAGTACGTTTGTTATAATACCCCGACCTTGCAGCCAAATACAGGTATAAGAAAGGGATGTACAATAGAATAATAAACTGGATTAAAATACCGTTGTTACGGAGTGACGGATTTTGCATATAATCATGTATAGAGGGCAAAATTACTCAAACATGTTTGGCTAATGAAGAGGGCATTTTTTCTTAATTCAGGGCAAAATTACTTGTATCTGATTGGCTGAGACGCAAAACCTTTCTTGTTTTAAAGGGCAATAAAAGCAATGCCCAATGACGTCTCTCTTTATTATTGCGAATAGTGACGTTACTGAAGAATTAAAAACTTCTAGTGAGAACTCAAACACTAGAAATTTCAATTTCAGTGTCAAGTACAAATATATGGGTTGGAGTGTTTAAGAATGGAGATATGCGAAGCTCAAGAACTTGACAAGGTTTTGTCAATATTTTACACTGAAATACGAAAATCAAATGGTAGCGAGTACGAACCTGACTGTCTTAAGGTTATGCAAGCATCTCTAGACTGTTTTCATCGAGAGAAAGGATATCCCAAGTCTATACTAAGGAACAATGAATTTATCAACTCCAGAAAAGTGCTTGAAGGAAAGGAACCTGCGAAGAGACGACTTCGGAAAACAGCCAAATAAAGCAAAAATCCTTTTTTTGTAATTGTGGGAAAGCAGCCAGCTGGGAGGAGAAAACCCTCGTTCGTTGACAAACACGCTGTGGTGACTTCTTACCCAACATTTTGGCTTACGTGGTCGCGATCGGCAAGAGCATCATCGGAAATGAGTGTTGAAGATTTTTCCATACACAAGGACGACAACGGAATTGATCGACTTTGTAACGTTTGCCGAAGGATTGACGAAGACCTGACAAAGCGGCTTGCGAGCGAGACCAAGACTTAATGTAAAGCCAAAATGTTTGCAAATGGACACGAAACAAGGTGCCCAGTGGCTCTTTTCAAGGAATATATTCGAAGGCGTCCAGCCGGAATGCAAAGAACATGCCCTTTCTATTTATCCGTTATTGATAATCCTACTTCCGATGTTCATGGTATACGCAAACACCAATGCGCAAGAATACCGTCTATAATATCATGCAGATGAAAAAAACTCACCTTTAAATAATATTTGTCAGGACAAGAGGCTCGCCAACCATAGCGCAAGAAAAATTAACAGTGGTGAAAAAGTTGAAAAGCTGCGGAGTACCGAAATGTGGAATAAAGAATATAATAGCATAGTTGCTCAGGTTTGTTTTGTTTCACCAGAGTCGAATGTCGATTACTAACTAATCGCCCGCTACAGCGGGTCAGACCTTTTGTCTCCCTGCCGACTACGCATTAGGCATTTCCGCAAACCTGCCTCGGGTTACGGGGCCATTTAATCACTAATCTCTCTCATAGTTAATATGGGCCATGCTTTTGCTTATAATAACTGCAAAGATCACAAGTCAGATCAAGGCTTCGAATCCTAGGGTATAGGGGTTGTCAAAAATCCTAGGAGTTAGGGGTTCTCATTGGAAATTATAACAGTAAAAAATGTTTGAGTGAGGTAAAAACATAAACAAGCTGATGTGGGTAAAACGCCATTTTTAGACAGAAATCATCAAATTCGGGAAGGGGGTTTCGTATACGGTGGGTTACAAGCAAAATGTATTGTCTTTCAATTGAAAGTTTACACAACTCAGATAATTAAAGATAATTCCTTAGACGACATAAAATATTATAAAACAACAGTTTATGATGGGTATTGAAAGCAAAATTGTATATAATCTGTTGGTAATTGTCATTCATCTTTTACTCCATGAATAAAATATCACCAATTAAAGACCAAACTCTCTTTTTAATTCCCTCACCAGGTCGTTCAACTTGCCTTGCTCTTCCCTCAGTTCCGCCATCTCTCTTTCCAGTTTATCAGCTTGGTCGTTTGCTTCGATCACATCAAATATCGCCGCAATTGCAACTAATGCAAGCACAATTGCCGTAATTGCGCTGACAACAAGAGCAAATTTTGTTACTGGTTCCGGGTCGGCAGTAGCTGCAGCGACGGCCGTTATGGCACCGGCCACGGCTCCTATAGCACTTATAATAGCAACTGATACAGAACCACTGGCTTTCTTCTGCATTTTCACCAATGTACATTGTATACTCACTAATTCTGCTGTTATTTTTGTCAGCAACTCCATTATTCTAAACATTTTTCCCAAACCAGGAATCATTTTCAATGTATCCCAGATGAATGCCATTTTCTGAAAACAGAATAGTAGTACAAATTACGCGCAGTGAAACGTACATTGTGTCATTGTCCAAATATTGCAGGGAATGACAGGCCATTCTGAAAGGAAATATATCCTGCTCACTGATTAATTGCTGTTATGCTGATTGCCCTTGGATCTACCCTGGACAGATTGTTCTAGAGCTATACATATATATAAAGTGAAAAAAATTCACAGTGGCCGAGACTACTTCATGCCACTTGATAGCTAATAAATCATATAAACATATCCTGCATTATGTCGAAAGACAATTAAAAATTTCATATTTTTATTTATTGACAAAACCTAGTATAGGAAATGCACAATATTCGCACAATCTTATATATAATGCCTATTTAGGCGACTTTCAAACTAGTCCTATCATCACCAGAGAAGGCTAAATAATCGGAAAAAATCACTGAAAATATTTTTAATTATTTTTATTAATTTTTGTCAATTTATTTCATTTATTAATGCACTTTTACTATTAAAAGTCTTTTGCCATACATCTTGTTATACGTAGAAAAATAATTATAAAATCTATTAACGGACTTTTATCAAACTTTACAAAATTGAAAATGGACTTAAATTTGGGTTCATTTACCAATTTTTGGGTCTGCTAAAATGGAATAATGTAAATCTAGCCTTATCTTCAAATGCTTACATATCGAGAACTACGAGTGCTACTAAGGAATTATACTAGAGTATCCGACACGGTCGCAGGACGTCAAAAACGCTGCTCAACCCTTAAATGTACTTTCGGACATAATTTGGGCTTCATTTACTCCAGTTTTGGGCCTGATAACTGAATGGGGTAATGTAAATCTAGCCTTATCTTCAAATACTTCAAACGTAATTAATTATTGAGCTTGCTTTTTTATTTACCACGAGTAGGTTACCCCGGCTCCCCCCCATATAACACCGGAAGTACGAATGAATGTATGTATGACGTCAACAGTAGTGTGCGTCCAAGACTTCGTACATAGTGAACACCCAAGAGTTCGTACTTAGTGTACGCCGGCCAAGAGTTCGTACTTAGCTTACTTCCAAGAGTTCATACTTACCTATATGAGGTGTACACGCATGTAGCGTGTTAACGTAGTTACGCATGATGTGTACAATGGGTGTATATTATGTTATTGTTGAGGTTCTTAAGGCCTGATTCCACGAGCGCTTTTTCTCGGCGAAATGCGAATTATTTCGCCCGTTTCTTTTGAATTGCGACTACTGGAATAAATTATTTCTACTTGATTGCTCACAATTCAGAAGAAACAGGCAAATATTTCGCAAATTTCTCCGAGAAAAAGCACCCGTGAAATCAGGCCTTTACGATACTTATGCGAGCTTCGAATAATAGATGAGTTACCCATTCTTGTACCCAGAGCCCTTCTTACGCGCGGTCGACCGAGCGCGACGAGGGGCTCTGGCCAAATCCATATCAAACTGGCATCTGATTGGCCACAACGAAATATATGGTTTAATGAATAAAAATACACAAGCGCTCCATGAAGCGTTGGTTTCGCTTTGAAAATTGGGAGAAAAGACATCATTAAAGTTGAAAGAACAGCAGTACGAAGCAGTTAGGAAGATTGTTATCGATAATCGCCAACAAAAGCGGTAGGTTTCGCTAATATTTATATTTATTTAATTAAATCAATTAGTTGATTGAAATTAATAGCTTGAGACGTGATGTTCTCACAGCAAAAAGTCAACATATTTATGGCAGATGCTCATCGTATTCTCAAATCAGTGATGTTAATTAAACAAATCTGTGTTACATGTTAGATATAGATACTTTATTGCGTGTTCCCCTAAGGGCTTTTCAACACTACATTACATATTAAAATTACTATAAATTACTTCTAAAACTACCTATGTTACATATACTAATTTAAAATTAGTTAAAATATGTACAAAGAGTATGAAATATTAAATGTGTTTAATAGGATTCTTTTAGTAAAATCTCTCTAAGTTTTTTCTTAAAAATTGTTATTGATGTAATATTTCTTAGTTTATCATCCAAGTCATTCCATATTTTAACACCCCGGTAATTAAATGTTCTTTGACCTGCAGCAGATTTATACAGAGGGATGTCCAAGAGGTCATGATTTCTTGTCGATCGATCATGTATGTCGGAACGCTTTATAAATTTATCTACTAGGTAGTCAGGTGCAAGTCCATTAAAACACTTGTAAGCCATTACAGTATCCCTTTCCAATAATAACTTTTCCACTGGCAGCCAATTTAGTTCGCGCAACGCCGGAGTTATGTGATCGAACTTTCCTACCCCTGATATAACTCTGCACGCGAAGTTCTGCACTGATTGAAGTTTATTCATATTGTTAGATGACGTGTTGGACCACACCGTAAAGCAGTACAGAAGCTTGTTAATTACAAGTGTGTCAATGACCAATTTTAATGTTTATTATCGAAACTATCCTTCACGCGATTTATTTGACATAGTTTTCTCATACACGACGAAACGAGTTTAGATATGTGGTCGTCGTAGGATAGGTACGAATCCAAATTGTTTCCCAAATCTTTATCTAATAAAACAGGTCTTATAGTCTTTCCTAAAAATGTTGGCGATATTTCTGTAGGTACGTTCTGCAGCATGGGTCTTGAACCGACTACAAGGAATTTAGTTTTTTCTGGATTGATCAGTAATTGGTGCTCCAAACACCACTTTGGCTGCTATTTGTAGATCTGCCTCTAAATTGATAGTTGTCTGTTCCAAGTCGTAGATGCAAAATGATTTGTAAAGCTTTGAGTCGTCTACGTATGAATCAAGGTTACACGATTGTATGCTCCCTGGCAGATTATTAATATAGATGCAAAACAGAAGTGGTGATAGTATTGCACCTTGTGGAACGTCATGGGTTATCGGGCGAGCTGATGACTTGGTGGATCCAATGCGCACGTATTCGGATCTGCCTGTTAAATAGTCTTGGAACCATTTAACAGCTTCGGGTGAAGCACCGATACAACTCAATTTGTCTAATAAAATCGAATGACTGACACTGTCAAATCCCTTGGAGAAATCCAATAAAATTAATGCCGTTAGATTTTTGTTGTCTATGGCTTCCAACATGGTATCGGTAACAAATATGTTTAAGGTTTCTGTGGAGTGAAGACTCCTATTCCCGCTTTGATGTGACGATATGCGATTAAATTCTTTGAGGTAGGAGCTAAATTGATTTAGTTCATATTTGTGCGGATATCTATTGTTCTCAATAGGGTTTTATTTGGGTAAGAATCTAAAAGCAAGGGGAGGGATTTGATATTTCCACAGGGAAAAGCGGGGTTGATGTATAGAATTGAATGCCTAATTAAAAATGCAAGGTATCTAACTTCATAGTGACCACCTTTAGAGGTCAGTATGGAGTTAGATACCTTGAATTTGTAACAAAAGTCAAACCCCACATCTCCTTTTCGACTAGAAAACGCTGCACGTCTCTGAGTCGAGAAAGAGACAACAGCCGTGTACCTCAGAGCCCGTCAAACTCTATACTTTTGGGTAGAGTATTTATCATTCGGTGCACGAGGACTAGCTGAATCAACCATCAAACTTGCTTGTGCAAGCAATTTATACAGTAATATCTGCTCTTTCGCTTGTGGGACGCGAAATGATATACTACGCATGCTCAACAACATTAAAGCGTGTTTAATGCGCATGTTCAACCTTATTTCGTCCCACAACCAAAATAGAAAATGGATATAAACAACATAAAAACCTCGTGCATTGCCGGTCTTTCATTGAAATTCAAGAAAGACCTCCCAATGAAAGACCTCCATTCGGTTTTTATCCTATATATAAAACCCTATTGAGAACAACTTGAGAATCTCTGCTTCGACAAACCCGTACAAATCTTCGTTAGCGCTTCTCGGTCGTATGAGCTATTTCAAACATATTTCATCGGAACTGTTGTTGGTGAACGAATATTTAATCACTTCTCATTGATAGTATACAATAATGCGACACGAGAATTGATGCATATCAAATGCGAAAGCCCTGTTTGTTTTATTACTACCATGGTAATTCAAACTCATTTAAAGAACAATACATATCATCAAGTAAATTTCATTGCGGGTCAATCCTTACAAATATGAACTAAGTTAGTTAGTAGTGAGAGGGGCCGATTGTTTGAGGCTATCTCGTGGTCTCCTTCTTTTAGTAGGGGCATAACTTCAGAAATCTTCCATAGGTCAGGGAATGTGCTTGTCATTAGAGAGCAATTTATCATATGCGTAAGAGGACCCAGTATGATTGGAAGACAGTCTTTGATGACACGCATGCCTATTTTATCTGGTCCTGGTGACTTATTACTTGGCATAGCCATGATAATGCGTTGAACCTCTGTACAAGTAACGGATTGGAAATTGAACAGTTGATCAGATGGATAAGTGATTACATTTGACAGAGGATTTGACAGTGCAACATTGTTGTCTTTGGCTAAACTTTCGGCTGTCGCAGCAGCGTTCCGTCCCACAGAAGTAAAAAAAAGGTTGAAATCTTCTGCAACTGTTTTTGGATCTTCACTATAAACTTGTGTTTCCTTTTCCTTCGAGGGAATTATATTATTAATTATTTTCCATAGGGATCTCGAATTGTGTTTATGTTATCTTACTTTGTTAAAGTGTGGTCCTTCGCTGCGGCTTTAATTTTGGTTTTTACGTTATTACGATATTCTTTGTAAACTATCCAATCACCTTCATCACGTGTCAGTTGAAACCGACGGAGGTGTAGGTCCCGAGACTTCATGAGTTCTTTTATTTCATTGGTGACATATGGACATGATCGATTTCGAATTTTGAAGGTTTTTAACGGTGCATGCACGTCGAGAGTTGAGTGAAGAACATCTGTGAAGGTTTCGAGTATTGTATTAACGTTGGTGTTGGATAATATGGATAACAGACGATCCGATTTAGTGACAAGGTCAGAGGAAAATAGTGAGGGATTATAGTTTTTATAACTCCTAGTTGTAATGTAACATGCTGGCATCTTTGGGGCCTTTAACTTTAGTAGGACGTACACTGGTAAGTGGTCACTGATAGAAGTGTTAATAACACCACTCTCAAGAACTAGTGCCGTGGATGAGACTAGAATAACATCAATAAGCGTTTGGGACGTCGCCGTGATTCTGGTTGGAGTTTTAATAATCTGTGAGAGATTTAATTCTGTAGAAAAATTTGTTAGCGCTCTCCGCTCTTGGCCGTTTTCTAGCATGTTGCAATTTAAGTCACCGAGCACTAAAATCTGTTTATTCAAAGTTAAAGCCCGAACATAATTTGGCTTAAGTAAATCTTCGAAACAATTTAGAGAAGTGTCAGGTGGTCGGTAGGTTACACAAATTATTATTAATTTGTTTTTTTTTTGCATTGTAAATTTATCCATAGTTGAAAGTTAGAGACTGACACCTTCGATAAATCTTTTAAGACAGTTGCTTTAATATTCTTTTTGATATAAGCACAGACACCTCCACATGTTCAAAGCTAAAGTGCCATCTGAAGAGAAAAAAGCCAGCCAGAATATGAAGTTTGTGATGGCTAGTTTCTTCTTAGAAATCGATTTTTTACAATTTTCAAAGTATTTGCAGTATAGTATGTCTTATGTATGACTGTTGACTTTTAATAAAACACAAAAAAGTCTAAAAATCCGTACAGCAGCGACTTAAAATCCAATATAAAATAGTGAGACAATCTCTCGTCTTCGTATCCGTAGCCATTACTGCTTTGACAACGTTTAGAGGGAAATATATACTAAATTTTATCAACATGCATTCAGAACATCACGTCTTACCTACTAATTGATTTAAATAAATAAAATTAGTGAAACCTACCGCTTTTGTGGGAATTTCCTGGAGAAAAAAATTCAAAACGTAACAAACAAGAAAACCGAAGTGTTTATCCGCGTTTGACGTTGAGCATGCGCAGTGTTAAACCGGATACCATATTTTTATGGTATCCGGTTATGGATTTGGCCAGAGCCCCTCGTCACGCTCGGTTGACCACGCGTAAGAAGGGCTCTGGGTACGAGAATGATGAGTTACCCTTTCAATTCGCGAGAAAATGAACACCACTTTGTTTTATTTTACTCAAGTTACACATAGTATTACAACAATTTAAATGTTCCAATAAGAAAACTAACATAATTAATTTATTCTTATAATCAACTCGCTACTTGCATGTACCGTCATTAAGATTGTTCATCTGAAAGTTCATTCTTCAAATATTTTTATTTTTAAATAAAAATATGATTACTCGGTTTTTACCTGGATTCTCATTTACACAAATATAAAGAAATTGTCGTACATATTATCACAAAACAAACAGTAAAAAAATTTACTATTTCAATGGACAATGGATAGATATCTAACCAATTTTAAAGGCTGTTCGACGACATTGGCTCAATCTGGCAAATCGTTTGATTATATTTGATAAATTGTTTGATTATATTACGCATTGATTCTCTTTTTGGTTATTAAATGTTTATTCATGATATGATAACGAAATAAAATAATGGTGATTAGTTTTACATTAAATAAGTGTAGTTGATTCAAATTTTGCTTTATGTGAGTCAAAGCTAGATCTGAGGTAGTCTAGATCTGAGGCAGTAACATAGCCAATGTCACTCGTCTAATGAGTGGATATGTTGTCTCCCTAATTTATACCGGCCCCCGTATAGGTATCGCATTGCCTGATGGCAAGTGGATTTTATTCAGCGCAACCAATTTTCATGTCCAACTTGCCCTGAGGGCAAGTGGTCAAAAAAGTTAAGTTACACCACTGCTTCCTTGCCATCACTATCGAAAACATCGCCGTTGTGAGATGAGGAAGATGCTCCTTCATCGTAATTATCCATCCTAGCTCTTTTTAATCTGTGCATTATGCTGTAGTCTTCTTCATCTGCATATCATGACTTAGCGTGACTCAGATCAGAATACGCCTCTTTCTTCATTTAATAGATGGTGAATATCTACCAAATGATTTGATAATTTGCAAAGGTTTTTCTTTCCGCACAAAGGACAGTCTTTAAGCGTTCGCGGCATGGAGCGAAATGATTCCTCTTGTCAAACGGGATGCAGAGACGTTGCTACGGGATGCTGGAGAAAACCACAAGCATTAGACAAGACTTCTTGTTATAAATTTAATGGCACTAAAAGGAACACTGGTCGCGGGTGGGGGTGGGGAGATTTCCAAGATTTTCAAAAAATAGTTTAAAAAAAGTTCAAAAAGTTTAAAAAGTCAGAAAAAGTTTAAAAAGTTAGGAGTTAGGGAGCGCCATTAGAAAAGTGATGGGGACATTTCCAACATGTGCGATTATTTTTCAAAATTTTTTGCTTGTGTCGATATTTTTTTAAAATCATCCCCTGCTCGAATTTTTTTTTTAAAAAAAGGTGTTGGCGAGCGGTGGGGCGTTAACATTTTTTCAGGACACTAAAAAAAGGGTCAAAAAAATTTTCCGGATAACATGAGTTCAGTTAAAGTAAAAAACATTTTCCCTCACATATTCTTGTTAAAACAGGCTTAAAATCTTTTTTGGCACCAATATCTTCAATATTTAGGTTTAGAAACTTTTTTCTCACACCATTACTTATATCAAATTTTCCAAATTTTTTCAAAATCTCTGCACGAAATTTTAAATTAAGCTTTTTGGCGTGCTCGAATTTTTTTTCTGCAGTTTCCCCTGCTCGATTTTTATTTTTGTTTTTGCCCCCCCCCCTATCACTTTTCTAATGGTCCGCCCCGGTGGCTAGTGGTTAGTCGTTAGGGTTGGGGTTAATAATAACAATAATAATATATAATATTTATATTGCGCAAATTAACATGTTATAGTATATGATCAAATGCGCATCACAAAACATAATTACACTAAAATTATTCTAAAAATATAAACAAGATTATATAGATTATATGTTGCATGAAGTATTTACATTAAAGGCTTCTTTGGGGTTAGGGTTAGTGTTAGGTGCCGCGAATTTATCATTATGATAAATTAAAAATGTGCTGCGAATTTATCATAATGATAAATTCGGACGTTTTTAAGAATTTACTCATATAGTAAATTCAAAGGTGGAGCTCATGCTGAATATAACCACGATGTAACACGCTTTAATACATGCAATCAATTTACACGCAATCGACTTGCAACTTACAATGCGCTGTCGATCGGCCTTATAACTTTACTACTGTATTTACAATTTATAAATACATCGCCAATTGGAGTGTTAAAACAATATAATTTGGATGATCAGAGGCACCGGAAGATCGATAATGGGGGGGAGGGGCAGATATTCATATATTCGTGTTCTGCCCAATTAATTTCTTTTGAAATCGAGATTTAGATTTTAAAATCGATTGTTTTTACAGTCTGTGAACACGAATATATGAATATCTGACCGCCCCCCCCCCCCAATTATCGATTTTCCGGCGCCTCTGGATGATTTACATTGTAAGAAAGAATGAAAGATTTGCGATAAAATATCGTTATAATATACAAGTGTCAAGTCCATTTATAGCGTATTGTAATTCTTTGAATAAAAAATGCATTTTACATTAAAAACATTACTCTTTGTTTTGCTTGAGAATATTGATTCACAAACAGCGAGTTATATTGGATCGGTCATTGATATCATATCACTTCAATTTACGAAGGATTTCATGAGCCAAACTAAAAGGCTATTGAAGCTGCATGATGTCTTTTGTAATATGACCCTGTGTTAGTGAATCTAATTCCGAGGATTGATCATAAAAAATCATGTACTTGATGTACTTTATATAGTCTTTGGAATTCTGCAAAATCTCACCCCAATACGCTTGAACTCCGCATTTCAGGAATCAGGAACTCTAGATTTCAAAATTTAAGCCGACTTGATTGATTTTGCGATCACTGTAGTGTTATTAATTTAACTTCTTGTCGACAAGTAGTTTCGCATCATATTACAATTCAATTTTTCAAATGTAAATATCGTGGCGAGTATTTACCCCCCTTTAAAACAAAACCCACCATTGTAATCCTCACAAAATAACCTTTCGAACGGGGGGTCAAGTGCTGTCGAACATTATACAACCGAAACAATCATATAGTTATACTCACCGCTTCGCCAAACATTCAAACGATAAAAAGAGAAAAAGTTGAATATCTTCTAAACTTTTCGTCATTTTCTGAAAGGCTATATGTGTAAAATACTCTTTGTATTCAAGCGCTTTAGTGTAGAAAGTTTCGTATGAATACGACGAGTAAAAATATTTATTTTTAATTTTTAAAGTATCGGGTTTTACTCGCACGCGCTTGTATTACGTAATACTTGGCCAATAAGGAGCTCCCTTTAGCCGGGATGACGTCAAACTCACGCGTATGGGTGCACTTGACCTGTAGAACCATTTCTGGCATTTCCAGAGTCACGCGATACAAGCGTAGCATTGCTTTGACGAGTTTTCGTCGTATTTCCGGTTGGGATTAAGGATAGAAGATTGAAAATAACGTTATACATGGCATTTTAAATGATTAATTCATCAAGAATATCGCAATGAGCATACGTTTCAAGGGGCCGAAGTTATATTCGGCGTAAGGTATGTTTATGTTTTTTAGTTTTTATAATTTGTTGGTAAAATGCGTAATTTGATGGTATTCGATCTCGCTTTACTTTTAAAGCTCATAAATCGCTATAATGTTGCCAATGACTAAAACTATTGCTACGAGTGAGGAGATCTAGCCACACTGAATCGAATGGTGGTATTTTTGTCCTCATAGCATTCAACGAATCGAATATATTAAATCGGCAAAGCGCGTTGCTTACAAGAGGGGGTAATGGGGGGTACCGATCCTGAAGCACGAAAAATAATATGCAGCGATCTCGAAGCATGAAAAATAAAGGAAGGAAGTCCTGAAGCACGTAAAATAAATTTAATACGAATCTGAAATGTAAAGTGAACATGAAATGTAAGCAACAATCATACTTAGAAGTCTTAAAGGTGAATATAAACAGTCTGTACTAGGCGGTGTGTTCACCTATTTGTTTACAATTGCATCGATGTTCATGATTTATATAAACTTTGAAACCTCCGTTCACCAATCAAAACATAGCTGAAATCCAGAAACAAAATTAATGGAATATATTGTCCAGAAACGAGAAATAACCGTCTTTAAATACAGCTGAAAACGGAGAACGGATATTGAATACACCCTTGTACCCCATTACCCCCTCTTACAAGCATTGCGATAATAGGCTCATGTCGATATTAAACATGTTTTATTATTTATCTAGCGTACACTTCGGCGATACAGACAATAGTCGATGTAATGTTATTTATATTGCAGCACTTTAATTAAACCATAAGGATTCTCCTTGTTAAATGCGAGTTTATGCGTAATATTTCACACGATATTGGAAGAAATAATATCACTGAAAGGTATTGGTACGAACATGTAACAGATTCACTAAAACATTTCTGCTGTTTACCTTGCTGTAAAGCATACAGGACGTGATGCGAAATTAATACCAGAAGTTGAATTGGCCATATTTAATTTCGCGAACACGTCGTGTTCACTGTTCGCGAAATATGGTTGTAGACTGTTTAATTTTTATAGTAAAATCACTAACCTTGTGTCACTTGCGAATACCTGAAGTCTCTTCTTTCAACAACCAATAAAAACGAGCTTGATTAATACAGCTGCTGGGATTTCACGAACTTGTGAGTGAGATGCAATTGTGAGAGGCTATCTTTAAATTGGCTATCTTTAAAACAGGGAACGGGGAATCGGGGAATCCGGGAATCGGGGAATCCGGGAATCCGGGAATTGGGGAATCGGGAAATCGGGGAATCCGGGAATCGGGGAATCCGATAACAATTTTATAAAAATTTAAATAAAAATTTTATTCAATTTACAATTTATGCAATAAAAGAAAATGAAGCTTAATCGAAAGTTGAAGTCGTGAAAGAAGTCGTGAAAAAACCCAGTTTAATACTTTTAAACGGGCATTTAATGTAAACTTCACGCAGGCCATAAATTAAAGCGAATGTGTAATAGCCATGATTGTGACGTCAAACTTTCGATTAAGCTTCATTTTCTTTTATTGCATAAATTGTAAATTGAATAAAAATTTTATTTAAATTTTTATAAAATTGTTATCGGATTCCCCGATTCCTGGATTCCCCGATTCCCGGATTCCCCGATTCCCGGATTCCCGGATTCCCCGATTCCCGGATTCCCCGATTCCCCGATTCCCCAATTCCCCAATTCCCCGTTCCCTGTTTTAAAGATAGCCCTTTAAATTTTAAAACAAGGAAAATGGGGAATCCGGGAATCGGGAAATCCGGGAATCGGGGAATCTGGGAATCCGGGAATCGGAAAATCGCGAAATCCGGAAATTGTGCTAATTCATAATACTAATTATTTTATATTTAAATTAAACTTATAAAACG